TATGCTGATTTGTTGCTCAAGAAACATTTCTTATTATTATCAATGAGGAAAACAGTTGTGCTGCTTAATTTTTGTGTATAAACTGATACATTTTTCATTCTTTGAATAGAAAGTCCAAAAGAATAGCATTTATTTGAAAATAAATATTTTAATATCTTTCTATAAATATCTTTACTATCACTTTTGATCACTTTAATGTGTCTTTGCTCAATAAAAGTATTAATTTCTTAAAAAAAAAAAATCTTAATGAATCTGAACTTTTGAACGGTAGTGTACATTCATATAAAAATGTTGTTTATCAGCTTTCCATGTTTATATGTATACCTATACCTATGCTTATATTTTTAGAAAAAATTAAAAATTGATGATGAAACGGAATTTTGCTCTGAGAATCTACTGCATCTCCTTCTTCGCTGCAAAGTGAGTGTGTCAGACATTTCTTATGTTTCTCCTGTCTTGCATAAGACCAAAACACATAGTGCTCTGTGTCTTGTAATAATGTAACACGTCATTTTATTTGTATTTCTTTTCAGACTGTGTTTGATAACTTGGAGGGGGAGGAGATGAGGCGAGCGCGTACTCGATCAAACCCTTATGAAACAATCCGAGGGGCTTTCTTTCTCAACAGGTGGGTGGCGTCTCCACATGCATACAATGTAATAAGAGAAGCATATCTTTTCTAAATTTCTTTCTCTCTGTTTTCTCCTCAGAGCTGCTATGAAAATGGCGAACATGGATCATGTTTTTGACTATATGTTCACTAACCCAAAGGATTTTCAAGGGGTGAGACCACAATTACACAAGCTGTGGCATTATGGATTGAAATAAGTGCTGTAATTACTTTTCTGAATTGGATGTCTGTGTGTGTAGAAGCCCCAGACGCGTGATAAGGATGGTGAGTTGCTGTATTTTGGAGACGTATGTGCAGGACCAGGAGGATTCTCAGAGTATGTGTTGTGGCGGCGGCACTGGCATGCGAAAGGTTTCGGGATGACGCTCAAAGGAGCCAATGATTTCAAACTGGAAGATTTCTATGCTGCTCCCAGCGAGCTCTTTGAGGCCTATTATGGTATGAGTTTCAACCATTTAAACATGAACAAAAAAACAACAATCTAACATTTTTACTGTATCGATTAATGTAGAAATACACAACAAGGCAGCACAAGGGGGGGAAGTCGTGGCCTAATGGTTAGAGAGTCGGACTCGTA